ACCCTCGGCTCGGCTCTGGTAGCGCCGCGGGGCACCTGTAGAGGACAAGGCCGACACCAGCGTGGTATCCACAGCAAGTTGCGTGCTACCCCACAGGGCAAGCCATTGGCTATGACTTCAATCCGCCGGTCATCTCCGGGCACGCTGCCGACATTGACTCGGCCGCAGGTGTCGATGGGCCGCCGCCCTTGGTCAGTGACGTGCTTGCTGACGGCGGGGAGCCGTTTGCTGCGAGCAGCCGCGTCTGGTGAAGTGTGCCCGCCTGCACGTGAGGAGCTGGCCTCCGTAAAAACAGCGGCAAAGATCTCCCGTGCCCGGAAGCGCCCCTTAAAATCCTTCCCCTGAAACACGTTGAAGCCACTGCGGAAAAAGGCGCGCGCGCGCGAAAAAAAAAACGATCTTATAACAACTGATATTAATGTACCGGAGTCCAAAGATGAATCCACATAATAATAAAAAACGATTCCTAAGCCACACGCGCCAAGCAGGACTCGCTCGTTCAAGGCATCCGCCTGTCCGCCTGCGCCTGTCGGCGCGGTCGCCCTCTTGACCCTCTGTGCGACCACCGTGCAGCGTGCGCCCGGTCTGGTGCACTCCGGAGTCGAGGCTGCCCGGAGCGTGCGGCAGCCCGCGTGTGCCGCGAGGCCGGGGCTCGAGTGACCACGAACTCCCTTGTCCGTGGCCTCAATGTGGCGGTCTCTCGCTTTGATGTCCGTCGCATCGAGGTCATCGCAAACGACCTCCTTTTGTGAAATTCGCGGTTGACACGACCATTGTGTCCGCGCACTCTCCTGCGTGCCGATGGGCAGTGCTTCTGTGTAACAAGGCTCTGGCTTCCGGGGAACTCCCGCGGCGATAGCATGAGGCAGTTGTCACAGCAATATTTAAAAAAGGCGATCCATCGCAGTGCGAAAACTACAGACGGATTTCTTGCTCACGGTCGGTTACAAGCTTCTGGCAGCAGTTCCTTTACGAAGGCTGAGGGATGGCGGCGCTGAGAGCCGGATCTGGCCTACACAGTTGAGTTTCCGTTCGGGTCGTGGGACTTCGGATGCGTTATTTGTGGCCAGGCGTTTGCTTGAGGAAGCCTGAGGTGCACAAAGCGGTTCTCTTTTGCTCTTAGCTCTTGACTGGGCTAAATAAAGCCTTTGACTCAATATGTCCTGACAGGTTTGTGCATTCATTGTGCCGGCTCGGCATTCCCAAGGCCTTAATTTCAAGGAGATGCTTTCGAGTCCGTGACGGCGATGTGATGTCTGACTCGCACTCGCAAAAATTTGGCATCTCGCAAGGGTGCCCTTTGTCGCCGTTCTTGTTCTCGATGGTGATGACGGTCTTAATTTCAGATGCAAAATTTGGACTTGCAACTAAAGCACGGCCTCCCCACCAAGAACACGAACTCATGTATGCAAACGACACTTTCGTGGTAGCCGCCGATGCTGAAAAGGCGGGACAGGGGCAGTGCGTGACGTGCATTCATCGGGCTGGCCGCGCGTACGGCATGGCACTCAACTGGAGCAAGGCTATGGCCTTGCCAGTGCGCTGTGAGATCGAAATCAACAAGCCTGACGGCACGCACATCCAATGTACGGAATCCCTGTGCTACTTGGGTTCCTTGTTGACGGCTTCGGGCTCTATTGCCCTCGAGCTGCGCAAACGAATTGGCGCTGCAAGAGCCGAATTTCACACACTGAAGCGCATTTGGGCACATTCTTCGTTGAACATTGGTAAGAAGATTCGTATCCTACATGCCTGCGTTTTTTCAAAACGTCTTAACTGTTTTTTACTGTTTGCACACAGCTTGGCTCAAGAAGGCCAACTTGCAGAAACTCGATGCATTTCAATCCATGTGCCTGCGACAAATACAGGGCATTCCGCATTCTTACATAAGCAGAGTCTCTAATGCTGAAGTTCTACGCAGGGCAGGTGAGCACCCGGCTTCCAAGACTTTACTGCGCAGGCAATTGTTGTTGGCTCGGATCGCCGCTCTTCCCTCTGAAGACGTGAGGAGGAGATGCGTCTTCCAAGGCGAGGTTCATGTCCGCAATTGTGAGTTGACCGCGACTCGTGCGCCCGCTTCGCGGCAGACCGCCTCGCGGCAGACCCGAGCGGCCGCTCGCTCAAGGGGGCGACCACGGCTCCGCAACAACCCAGCCCGGGCCGGCAAGCGCGATCGGAGATGGGGAGGGGGAGTCGGATTTGCCGAAGGGCAAGCGTACGGAACAAGTGGGAAGGGACCAACAGCGGCCTGCAAGCACAAGGCGGGTCTGACGCCAGCTTCGAGGTGGGGAAGGGCCGGAAACCCAGGAAGCCCGGTAAGAAGCAGGCGCCGAAGCAGCAACGGAACGCAGGCCGAGACCCCCGAGGCTCAAGGGACGCTGCGCGACACGAGCAGGGAGAGCAGGCAACGGGTCGCACTGCAACAAGTCTGACAAACAATCCAGCAAGGCGGCGTCACGAGCAACAGCAAAATCCGCGGTGAGGGACGTGCGGAAGAGCAACAGGAGCTTGCAAATCTGCGAGCCCACGGACGCGCTGGAGCAGGCCGGCGTGGCTGGCGGACAGGCGCTGCAACTTAGCAGCCACAAACGCGGGGGAACCCAACGGAGCACCGAGCACAACGCACCCGCGGAATTCAGGGGGCAAAGAGTGGCAGCCCACCCAGACAAAACCATCTCCGGATCAAGATCGCCAATCCCGGGCAGGACTTGGCCTGCAGCATTCCAAATTCGGGTTTTGCCGTGGTTCAGCTGAATGCGGGCGTGGCGCCACAAGGCCGCAGCAAGCAGGTCACGCTCAGGTTGGACCACAAAGTTGGTGTGGAAGGAAAGCAGCGGCCCGCCGAAGTGCAGAGACTCCTGGGCCTCCACAAGGGCAGGCCTCTGGCCGCGGGCGTAGCGCGGCGGCATCAACACCCTCCGCCTTGAAAACCGCATGGGGGACGCCATCAGTGTCATGCCACATAAACTCCGACCGGGCTGCGGGCTGCACGCGGGCGATGAGGCGGCGAAGGAAATCACTGACAACAATAATGCCCCTGACCCGCCCTGAAGGCTTTAGTCAGTGCAACGAGCCGACCGAGGCCAAGCAACTGAGAGACACGAGAAAAGCGGTTGGAGCCGGCCTCGTCGTCGAGGACAGGGCGCAGGACAAGGACTTGATGGCAAGAACGTCATCAGGGATGGGTTCGTAGGCTTCCTGCGGCCGGCGCACCGGATCACGAAGCTCCTGCAGTGTAGCCTCGTTGCCGGGGGCAGGAAGGGACTGGGCAACTTCCGCCAACAACGTCATCCACTCCCTAGCGTGAAAAGCCCGAAGTCGGTGGCGCCATTCGGGCTGAGACAAGTGGCGCTGCTCCGGGCGCCGGTGGAGGAGCATGCGAGGCAACAGCAGCCACAGCTGGGAAAAGACATGCCCATCGTCAACCAAACTCGCGTCGAGTATGGCCTGCGAAGCGATGGAGAGCGCGTGACACACCGGACCACGAACAAAAGCCGGAGAGGACTGGAACACAAAGACCTGCACACGAAGGAGGGCCAACACGTCGACCGCATCCAGACGTGACAGAGCAGTGCGGAGCTGGAAATGGGGGAGGTGACTGGGCTGCAAAGGCGGCCCGTCCGGCCCGGCAGCGCCGTCGGTTGCGGGGCTAGCAGGCCGGGGTGCCGGAGAAGGGGAGGCTCCTGCTGAAAGTGCGGAACGTCTGTCCGAGCTGGGGCGGGGCTGGCTAGCATGGCGAGAGCTATGGTTCGGCGGAGCTAGGAAGGCAGTCTCCGAGGCAGCAGGGCGCAAGTGTGCCAACGAGACAGGTGCGCAAAGGGCCTCGAGCTCCGTATCAAACCCGGGTTGCCAACACTGCATGCACCAGACATGGGCGCGAGACCGCGCTAGACACATGGTAGGCGTGTCCGCACGCGGGCCAGTGACAAGGAGTAGCCGCACCGACGCCACCAGGAAGAACAGGGTGCAAACAAGCGGGGCAATTGTCAGGATCAGGCAGGGGAGGAGCCGGGACGTCTCCCCCAACGGACGGGCAGGATTCGCCGCAGTGAGCGCATCCTGCGTGGCCACAACCGGAGTGTCAGGATGCGCTTCAGGCGAGGAAAGTACTAACTCCCCATCGGCAGAGGCTGGGGCTGGACATGGCTGCCAATCGCAGGGCAAGCAAGCAAGGCAAGGCTGCTGAACCGCTTGTTTTAACTTGGACGGTCCCCCAGCTTCTTTACCCTGGGAGACCCACCCAGATGCTGTCTTGCACACTGGACCCGGCCACCAGTTGCGGGGACCGCTTTTTTCAACTGGGACGGTCCCCAGCGGCCGCTTATTTACCCTGGGTCGGCCACCCAGATACCGTTTTGTATACTGGAACCGGCCACCACTAGTGTTGACCGCTTGTTTCCACTGGGGCGGTCCCCCAGTTTATTATTATTTGTTTATCCTTCGGATCTCATTGTTTTGCCTTTTTTCTCCGGGCCTGTTTTTTTTTTTTGTGGCCCGGCCCCGAGAAGGGGGAATAGAAACCAAAGGCTTGTTTATATTGGGCCCGCTTCTCGCGGGCGCGCAAGCCATTGTCTGTGGGAATTGAGCTCAGTGGGGCAGGAAGGAAATCATCACGCAAATCGTTGGGCGACCACCGAAGAAACGATGGGTTGCGACTGTGCGCTCTTCCTTGCTTGCAGCAGCGTTGTCCATCCGGGCCAAGTGAATCTCTGAGGTCGTGCTGGCCCAAGAGAACATAACTGGATAGGACGCCATCCCCAGGCTACAATGATCATCGAGCCGCAACGCCCTTTTCACCAGCGTGTAGAACAGCAATTCGAACGGCAGCTACTACCGTGCGCGCGCACGTAAACACACCATGGATGTTGGAAGGGTATGTGCATGTATGTATTTCATGCACATGTATGCGTATACATTGATTCAACAATGTACATGCCAATGTGTAACCTGCACAACGTTTGGCCGGTTTCCGGCAAGTCATGCATGGCTGATTCAAGACTTCACTCGCGATCGAGTCCTGGCTCGCACAGCATCATGCACGACACAGGGGCACACACACACAAGCACAAAAACACACACACCTGTAGACATACTTCCAGACACACACGCACACACATGCACGGTTGCACAATCTCAAGGAAAACATGAGATACACTCGACTCGACTCGACCTTGCAGGTTTTGGTTTTTAGCGGAACCAACTTACAGGCCAACATCAGATTCAGCAAACAGCCGAGTATGGCAGTGACTCCTCGATTCCATTTGAAGTTGGTGCTGCTTACTCCCACCTTGGAGCAAAGGAACGCTTGGCACATTTGCCAAATGCTTTCTACGCTTCGCCAAGAGGCGAATTGGCCCAAGGCGTTGAGCCACGTCTCGAAGTCCTGTGGAGCAAACATGCGCAACAAACGGCCATGCCAACTATGCCACTATGCAAACACGTACTGTCATACTGGCCTACTTCAATAATTTCCGCAACTAGCCTACCCGCCTCCTCAGTTTCTGCTACCAGAATGAGGCCTCTCCTCAGTGCAGACTGCAAACAACTCAAATTCTGAATGCCAATTAAAGACTGCTGCACAACATGCAGCGAAACTACTTATGTCTTAGACTGGCCTGGCAACCAAGCGCCAGCTGCAACAAATAGAATGCCGTGGATCCCGACTGCAAGGATGGAGTGCACACTGCATCAGTTTTTGATCCTGAACCTTCACTGGACACAAGGCGCAATATTGACATCGCGACAGAGTAGCACACGCACACACGCACTCAAACATACCTTACTTTGCGAGCTTCTTCTTGCAGAATATGGCTCTTTCGGAAGTAGGCGAAGATGCTCAAGTACGGCTTGCTTGCATCCACATCCCTCAGGTCCTGCATCTCATAGACGCCTCAAAGCAGCTGCCAGCAGCTTTTTCGGGAAACACACATTGTGGCAGCTTATTTCTCGCTCAGCGTCTGAGGGGTATGGCTTTGTCTGCGTTGACCTTTCCGCATGGCCAAGTTGCCTTTGGTTGAAGCTCCTCGGGATTTGCATCCAAGAACACGTCACTGGTCGCAGAATAGAGAACCCCCCTTCGGCTTCTACAAGGAAACCAGCCAGTTTGACGGGAGCCTGCTTTGACAGCTGAACAAGCATGATGATCCCTTGCCCCTACGTCTCATTCTCACTTCACCCTAGCAACAAACGAATTTTTGCAGACGAAATGTCCCACTGCTACTAAGCAAATTCTAAACTCCTCGATTTCTCGGCGACCCAAACTTCGGTCGTACTGGCTAAATGTAATTTCATGTTTGCCCTTACAATAGTAGTGGCAGCCCCTGGGACCCTATCCCGAGGGTGAACTTCTATACAATTTGTGGAGGGGGGGTATCTAGTTTTAGCGGAAGGATTACCACACACAGGCAAATCCTGCTGGCAACAAGCTTGGCCAGTGCCAGGCCGCTGGGGACTGTCGCCTCACACACGCCAAACATAACACGGCGTGCCTCAATCTTGTAGACCAGCGATGGTGGAGGCTTCTGTGTCCAAATCACCAGAATTTCAGTGTGCTCATCAAGCTCCACCCATCGCCTGCCACGAGCACCGCTCTTCCCAACTCATCTGAGCTGTACTGCGACTCTCTGCGAGCCCGCCTGATCTTTTCAGTCTTCCAGAAGCTACTGCGCAACTGCAACAATTCACCTCGGAGTGGCTCCTTCTTCCGAACACCTGCCAGGGCAAGGTACCCAGACCAGGGGTCATTATTTTGACGGTTTTTGGGGGTTATCAAAGTCAGAAATGGGGTTGTTTTCCTTTAACCCACCACTTAGGGGGTGACTTTGACCATGGTAAAATAATGAGGCCAGCAGACTGCCACTCGCAGTCTGCGACAAGAGAGGATCATCTCTTTGGCCGAGCCGCCTGTGTGCCTTTGGACAAACTGGAGCGCCTTCCTTTCGCGCTCAAATCTATCTTTGCGAGCGATGATCTTGGATGCGGCCAGGCATGGCATGCCCGAAACGACCGCTTCTGAAAAAAACAGATTGCCTGCCGAAACCCCGTTGATCTAATCCTGCCACGCTTCCTTCCCGCGAGCTCTTTGGAGGTCGCCGGAGTGTGCCTGGCGCTTCATGCTGGCATCTTTCTGTGCGGCAGTTTCAGCATGCCAAGTGAGCAGAGTCCCCAAACTCCATGAACCGCTTCAGCCTGGGCCGGGATGCAAAATCACCGCAAGTGCCATACATGCCCAGCTCTGCCTGCCTTGCGCTCCCTGCATGATGGGACGCCCACACGGTTTGTGCCACGTTGCACGACAGATCAGACTTGCTTTGCTCTCATAAGGAATTCTGCCCGTGGGTTGCGCCAAATGGAATCAATCAGTCAACCGCACTGCTTTTGTCACGCGTTGCCGCGAATCCGGGAGCGGCTGTTGCTTTGCAGCCACTGCAGGTGCAGAGGAACCTCTGCCTAACATCTTGAAAGCTATCGGGAGATCCTCCCTAGGATGTGTCACATCCAAAGAATCCAAAGCTATCCGCTCTATACAATTCACCGTTTGCCCTCCAAAGGCCGTGCTGAAGATCCTTGGGGCCTTCAACTGGCCAGCTCCAGGTCTGGAGCGGCCGGTTCACAAGCAAACGCGACTTCCGAGCAACGGGATGTCACTTTGTGCAACCCGTCAGCACGTATCGCGCGCCATCCGCGGCACATGGCTTCACCTCTGCTTTGCCAGAGTAGCCGACTGCGCAGTCGGCCGTGACGTCAAAGGTGCTCTGCCAGGCATTGTTCTCCTCAGTCACAAGCGGCGGTAAGATCTCCAGGTTTAAGTGGAGGATGATAGATGATGAATCATCAAATTGTGATTGGCGGCAACAGTTTCCAACACCGCAGGTATATTGTGAACGTGTGTAAACCTTGAAAAAACATCTGAAACGAATCGCATGGAGAGCAATCTGCGACCAACTGTAGCAATAAGGATTCTCATCCCACTCATCTGACTGCATCTAAACTGCATCAGCTGCAGCATTCTTACAAACCGCTTCACCATGCAAGAAGTGCATTCAACTGGAACAAGCTCCAAACTGGACCAACATACCACGTCCACAGATTGCGTTGCATGAGAATTCAGTGAACGTGCAGTGCAAGACAACGGTCCTTCAGTTTGTAGCCAGTAGAGTCCACTGGAGCTGCGCACAACTTGTCTCGGGTGCAGCCTGCTAGCTGGTAGGGAGCTCCGCTCTGAGAGCATGGGGAGGCAATTGCCTTGGTTGCAATGGCATGAAAAAGCCAGGCGGCTCAGTGCCCTATCTTGTGCCGTGCGCGCGCTTGCTTGTGTCGATGTGTATCTGCATGTATCCATGTGCACGTGCACATCTCTATGAATATGTAAATATATACATATTATACACACATATATATATATACACATATGTGTACAATATCCGCCGACATTGCTCGGCGTGTCGGATACTTACTGGAGGATAGAGGATAACCCCCCCCCTAACCCCCCCCACCCGACGTCTAGGGGGGTCCCCCACGTACCGCGCGGCAATTTGATGACGTTCCACTAAACGTAGTCTTCGGGGAGCCGGTGTCGCAAAACAGGGGTCTCAGGCTCGATTCCCCCTGCCGGCTTTTTTGCTGGCTTGGGCTTCCTGCATCCGTTTGCCGAAAATCTGGAAAAACTCAATGTTTTTTGGACGTCCTCTTTGTGAAAACGCTGGAAAGACCGTGTTTTTTTGCGGGAAATACATACATACATACATACATACATGCATGCATGCATGCATGCATGCATACATACATACATTTCATACATACATTACATACAAACATACATGCATACATTCATGCATGCATACATACATACATACATACATACATACATACATACATACATACATACATGCATTACATACATACCTACCTACCTACCTACCTACCTACCTACCTACCTACCTACCTACATACATACATACATACATACATACATACATACATACATACATACATACATACGAGAGAGGGAGATTGGGGAGAGAGAGGCTTGGGGGGATGGGGAGGATGGGAGCAGAGGGAGGGAGAGAGGACGACAGAACACACAAGGGAGACAAGGCAGAGAGGAAGACGGAGAAAAGGGAGAGGACAATGTCGGCGGACTGAGCCGGAGGCTCTAAAGTAATATATAATATGTACTTTTGAATATAAGCGCAACCCTCCTGAAGTACTTGCGATACTCCATGCAGGTTCTAAACAAGCAGAATTGGTTTGGCTTCGACCAAAATTGCAAAAGCAACGCCTAAATTAGTGACGAGTCTAATTCGATGCCATGATGGTCAAACACCACAATTCCTATCAAAACTCATATATGAACAACAACTAATTTGACTCGTTGATTCGGGAACAACCCATATTCAGCTTAAACCAGTTGCAGCTCCATGTGAAGCGGAACGGATTCAATTTCAAATGCATTATTCTCGACTGCGTGGCAGAAGGGTTTCGTTGTAGAAAGGGGACTGAGGCTCTTGCGCAATATCGTTGCTTTTGCGCTGCTGTGTTTTGGGGGGAAACCATGAGGGCTGTTTTCATTGCTTTTGCAAAGACCTCCGCGCGGATGTCCGACATGCGCACGCTGAGCGTCGTCATCGCGTTGCGTGGGCTGGCGCGCAACACCATGTGGTCCACAAAAGGCTGTTTCTTTGGCGCCCGTAGACCCTTGGTGCTAGATTGTTGTTGGAGCTCATACCTTGCACAACTTGTTCTGGGCCCAGGCTCTAGTAGGATCCTTCCTTTTCCGTTTTTCGTGCATCTTTGTTTGGTGCGGCTTCGCTCGTTCGCTGTCTCTCGTTGTAAGCTTGATGGCACGGATCGTCATTCTTGCAACAGGTCGCTTCTGTTTGTCTTTCGGTTGCGGCGCGCTGCTGCTTGCCCACGCTTCTTTTGTTGGCGATGTAGGCGGCGCTGGCAACGGTGGCCCTCTCGGGTATGTTGGTGATGTCGCCAATGGTGATGTTGGCCCTGCAACATTATGCTCTGTCTCTTGCCATCTGCTGGCGCGGTGTTGCGCTAGCATTTGGCGCCTTCCATGGACCTATGTGTACACACAGTCCAAAAGTTGCAGGATCCGTTTGCGTGGCACGATCTGCCTTCAGGGCAGAGGTGGACGTTCCACTGCGATGTCTCTGTTGTAGTCCTGTCGGGTTTGCGCCTTTCATGTTCTGATTTGTCAACAGTGTTCCGCGTTCGCTCAGCTCCACATGTGACTGGGAACTGTACGTTGAAATCTGCCGTCAGACATCATCCCGGTCTGACTGAGGATTCGCCAACTCCTGCCTGCAAGGCGGTATCTCCTGTTGGTTGCTTTGGCGCTGCGCTAGTTTTGCTGTTGCGCCTTGTTGTTGTTCCCCGTCGTCTGATTCCATGTTAATTGAAAAATCCTGACGTTCCTCAAAGTTTGCCCAACCTGCCCAAGGCTTGTCTGTTCGCCCATTCATCTGGAGTCATTTTCCTCTCCAGCTGGTTGCACTTTTGTCTGTCTCGACGGCGGGAGGCGTTGATGTCTGGCGCGTCACGTGTTTGCTCTGCCGTGCAAAATGGCGCGCGTGGCTCAACATGTACTCGTTTCCAGTAGTTGTGGGACTTCTCTGCGCCAGTAATCCCCTCCATGATGTAATTGTGAAGGGCAAGGTTATGTGGTGTGGCGTGTGATACTGCTGGCTCCTGTGTTGTTGGTGGCTGCTTTCCTCTCAGTTTTGCGCGTGGGTTGCGTTGAGCCACTTGTGGTCTAACCTTCTGCTGCGCACTCTTCAGTTGTGACTTTGCCGCCAGTTGTCGTTGCAGTGTCTCTGGTAGTTTGTCGTTCCCCGTTCCACATCTGTCGCTACGCTCTGTGTCAATATTTCTCTGTGCTCTGGCGAGCTCACCCTCTGTGTTGAGCTGCCAGTAGTCACCTGCGAATCCTGCATCCGCCGCGCCATGTGGTGTGAGTGTTGTAGTTGGCGCTATCACGCCGCTCTGACCTTGCTGCGCGCTGCGTGTAACCGAAAGTAGTCGCTGGTTAACCTTGCAAACGTAGAAAGGTAGTTATGACAATCTGTTGCCCATTGTCGTTTGTCACGCAAACCCATCTATCTGTGCAGCTTAATGCGTTATTGGTCGCGATTCTCAGTTGCGACCCGGTTCCTCGCTCAAGTCGTTCGGTGGAAACTGCGTTACAAACCATGGTGGGCAAATATGTGTAGCCACACAGCAGTCAATCACCAGACCTGCTTGTTGTCTTCTGTGAGTTGTTGCGCTGCGCCGACCGTGGCAGTTGTTTCCTCTCGTAATCCTGAGAGGATGAGCACTGGTGCTGGATCTGCTGGTTGCGGAAGCGCTGGCTGCTGTCCCTGCGCCACTCTGCATTGCTTCGCCACGTGTCCTGGCTGCCCTCATCTGTAGCAAACGTTTGTCGCATGTTTTCTGTTTCCTCCTTTACCTGCATGTTGGCTGTTGCAGTATGCGTTTCCTTTGTTGCTGCCGAATCCATTTCCGTTGCCATATCCATGTTGTCTTTGGAGTGGATTGCCTTGTCCAACGCTGTAGCCTTTGCCCTTGTGGTGCTTTCCATTGCCCTTGCCCTTTCTGCAACTTGAATAATGATGCTGCTCGTGAGACTCTATCGCCAGGGGTCTTTCTATGTTGCGATGGTCCCTGCCTGCTCATTGAGCAGTATTGTGATTTTAACGGCATCCAGTAGCAAGGCGTTGTTGTCCTGTCCGTATTTGGCGAGTTGGAGTTCCCATGTTACACTGCTCTCTTCGCACTTCTATTCGCAGGTCAGGTACCCAATGCTTCTTGCACCAAGCGGGATGGAGTATCTGAGATGTAGTAGTCGCAATGTCTGACTCTGATGGCTTTAGCTGATCGGGATCACTTGATAGGATCCTATTCTGATCGTGAATTGACGATGCCATGGTTCTAACTAAACCCTCTCTTTTCCCTGGGGAACTCCGCTTCTTGATTTCGAACGCTCGGCCCTACCGACCACGATGTTTGAAGCTGTGGCGAAACCTGCCTGGATTCTTTTGATGTCCAGGTCAACGGCTACTTGCAATAATCTGCCTGCATGCGCCGTGGTGCCTGCGTGTCTATCATAGTATTGCTGCATACTTGCCAGCTTGCTTCTGTGTTGCTAGCCACACCAAATCCCTCACGAGTCATGTGTCACCATTCAGTCCGAGAGACGGTGCCGGTCCAGCCCGGAGCACACTTGGAGGCGACTTGGAAGTCATGCTCGTTGGTGCTGGTCTCCGTGATCAAGTAGCCTAGACATGCCAAGATTCATGCCTTTCCAAAGGACTGCCGTTAAATGACAAATCTGCTTTGGCCCTCCGCGCACAATGGGAAGTTTCAACAAGGTCGGCGGCCAAATGCTCTGCAAAAGGCTGATGCAGTGGAGAAACCGTTCCATTTATCATGTCACACAGCTCAAAAAACCGAGTAAGAATCCTGCCTGGATCGCAGGATTGCTTGCCAACCAATTCCCATCAGGGTTGGTTGCTTTTTCCATGTTCTTTTCGCACCATGACAGACTTCCTTCAAACTCTGCAATGCCGCGGATTGAAATTCCCGGCCTGTTGCATCAGGTGGACCAGTGCAGGTGACGACTTGATTGCAACCACTGAGGATGTAGGCTCCACCATGCTGGGTGCAGGGGGCCGCCACGGCAGAACCTGGCAGCTTTCTGAGACTCTTTCGCCGAATGGAGACATGGCGGACATGGGAGTCCGAAAGCAACAAACATCTGCTGCCAGAAGGCCGATGTACCCGATATCGCATTTGGCAGAAACTGAAAATCCGTCCTGGTCTGTGCTTGCTGGCTGAAAGCATTGGGAAATCCCGAGGTGGACATCGGCACTTGGGATGGCTTGCGCCATGAAATTCTGAAAGGCTCTCCAAAAACGATAAATCGTCCTTTTCAAGCCTATCTTTTAGCAAGGCTCCACTCGAAGATCTGCTTCGTGCAGCTTGTAGCCCACGGCGTTGGGGGGGGCCAGGCACTTCCTCAACTTGCAAGCGCGGCAACGTCATCCAACTCCAAGTAAGATCAAGCAAGCAGCTTGACCGTTGACATCAAAAAGCACCAAGTTGCAGGTCTGACACCTCGCCAAGAGTCTCAACTAGCTTGCAGCCGCCGAGGATGTAGTCCCCACCTGAAAACAGTGCAGCCTGGCAAAACACTTACTAGTCGGATAATGTCTACTAACTGACAAGCCAGGGGCTGATGCGCTGATCCTCCCAAGTGAAATGGCTTGAGCTCAGTGCGGCACCTGTTATAGAGCAAGGAATGGCGGAGGGAGTTCCGGTATAGCCAGGAGCACATTGTGCGCTGACATTGAAGCTACCATACAAAAGCCTAGGAATTGCAAACAACAAGAGGCTCGTATGAGCATTGTTGGCCATCCAGCACTCTAGGGGCAAAAGTGAATGCAGCCAGGCATCTCGACTTCATTGACCGAATATCCGTCGATAGACGGTCGAGTACAAACTGTGGTATCTTTTGTACATCCACTCAATACCTAAGACCCAGCGAATCACATGAGCTGAGCCCAAGAAAACATCAAGGGCAAGGATCTTGCATCTGGGTCGCATAGGAAGTATGCGCCTTCTGGCACGGGGCAATCGCTGCCGTTCCAACATACCCCGGTGCACACTTCGCAGTAACATCGAACTGGTAGGGGAGAACCACTGTGCTGGCTTCCTTGGCTTCACATTCCCGCTATATGTGCAGCAGATGCCAGAACCGTTGCCTGCCTGCTCTTGTTGAAGATCATGCTTGATTGGTTCGTTCAAAGTTTGGAACCATCACTGTGCCTTACAGATATCCTGGACGAGGTTCTGTGATTCTATAGCCCTCAGCATTGGGATCTGACATGCATGCGATTTTCGGCGTGCAGCCAGTCAGCGCATATTCCTGAGTGCAAATATCATGGGTTCTGCCTCCTCTCCCCCAATGACTGCTTTCATGTTCTGCTGCTTGTTCCGACAAATGTTGCATACCCTGCCTTGCAACTTGCAACAATGACAGGTGCACCATCAACCAAAACCCACACATGACTTGGCATGAAGCTGATTGCTGATTAATTGTCATGCTTCAAACAGCAGTTCTCCTCGCGCCATACTTTTCCAAGCGGCTGTGCCCGCTTCAGGACAGCCCACCGCTTTGGGCTGACCCGTATGGGTTGATTGACACTTCGCGGCCACATTGAAGGAGCTGCCCTAATGCTGGAGACGATTCAACGACGCGCACGCCATAACGTTAAGCCAGGCGACCACTAAATTGTGCTCCTGAGTCTGGAAGTGCGCGTGCAACAACAGGTGCAAAACACTGCACAACATTGCAAAACCATGCAAATTCTTAAGTGCTCAGTCTTTTTTACCGAGCTGCCTTCACCAAATAGCCAGTGCTATCCCTGGGGGAGATACACGTGTCACCAGCTTTATAGCACCCCGACAGGCGGTAGGGCCTTGCGCATTGAAAACTCACACAAGCACACACTACGTCACGCACAGCAGGGAATGTCTCGAAGGGAACCACAGCTTTGGGAATGCCAGTTGCAATGAAGGATTGAAATCAAACTCAAAAGGAAACAAACTCAAAAGCAATGGCATTCCTCTGAAGTCGAAGTCTCCAAACTCAGCCCCTGGCTTCAAATGCTGGTCGCAGGGCGTTACTTTGGCGGTTCCGGAGAAGCCGTTGGCACACGCCACGGAGACCTCGCCATCATGCGTGGTGGTAAGTGCTCATCTGGAAGCTTAACTTCTGGAAGGGTTCACGACCATTTGGCCCAAATAGTTGAATGTACTTACGAATCTGGAGGGATGCATATCCATGCTGAAATCTGTGAAGATTCTGTCATTCTTTGTGGGGACAGCATCTGAATCAGTGAGAAGGCTGCTGCTGCGCTCTGGCCTGAAAGGAATGCACGTCCAAGGACTTTTCTTCGACGACGTAGTTTGCTGAAGCTGTGGCCGCAGTGCATGTTGTGATGGGCTTGCAGCCGCTCCTTGCGGTCATAGATTGCTTTGGTTCAAGAATCATCCGCTAGTGTGCTCTTAGAACAACCAGATGCAAGGCCAGCAAGAAAAACCGGCCAAGGAGCAGCTGGTATTCCTGCAAGTTATCTGCGCAAGGCTTCACTGCAGCGTCGCCGACAAAGCCAGCCGCACATTTGGCTGCAACGTCAAACCTGACACCAAACTGCAAAAGGTCCAAGACAAGACATATCGGCACCAGGCAATGCTAGGCACTTGGGGCAACTGGAGACCTCTCACCCGTCACCGAATGGGGGCAAGGCATATGTACCTCCACGCTGCGTTCCTTGAGGACATAGCCCTGCGCACAATCTTCGCTTTGAAATGTGGTAAGTCATGTGGATGCTTGGCAGGTAGGCGCCTCTGACGTGGAAGGCGCTTTGCAGACTTTGGTTGGCTCGCAACCGGCCAAAACCTGGTTTCGGCTTGAGGCACGGCGCCAAGATCAGAGTATGAAAGTCAACCTCTGAGAATGCGACGTACGGCTCATCCGCAACGGTGCAGGCTGTCACCTTTGCGAGGCCGTGGTAGCCTGCGGCGCACTCAGCAGCCACCTGAAACCTTGGTTGATCTGCAGACTGGACAGCTGAACTGGCTGTTGAACGGCATGCGCTATCAGCAAGAAGGGGTTGTGAATTGCCCATCTCTCTCCAAAGCATCCATGAACATGTCACTTCTCTGCGCTACGAAAGCATAGCGGTTCGCCTTGCAGAATGTTGAGTACCAGCTGAGCCTGGGGCTGATGAATACTCGTGCTGGTCTCCTGCAAAACAATTATCTTGCATGCACTCGCGCTTTCGCTTGGGGGCAAAACCCCCCATGCTTTGCCAGTCTGCCAAGGTCCATCAGCAGTTCAAGTGCTGGCAAGCTGCCGTGAGTTTGAAGCCTCTGGGATCAAGTGGCCTTTCGCAGTTCTCAATCCTCGGTATCTCAGTTCAACGGCTCTGACATCTCCAGGAAGCTCAGGGGGCAGCGCGTTCCCACCCGTGACGTGGAATTGGCATCTTGACCCGGCTGTACACCGTGGAGGCACAACTGTCTCATCTCTCAGACTCCCTTCAATACTGGCACTACCCTCGATGCCAAAAAATAAGGCAGACAAGAATTGCCGAGGCTCTTGTTGCAGCCAGACAACTGCACTGCCCCCTCGCTCTTGCAAGGTGCAATCGCCGCTGTGCCATAGTAGCCTTTGCGACAGCTGACAGTCACATTGAAGTCGAAGATCTGGAGTGACTGAGCTTGCACGATGTACCTGCGGAACAACACCTCCGGTCACATGCTTCTATGGGAATGTTGCCAGACAATGGAAGCGCCACTTGGAGGGCCCCGAACTTCTGTGCCGAGGCACCCAATCGCGGCTGGGACAGTGCAAATGGTTGTGTCTGGAACCTTGGCAAACCAGTCTGAGCTTTCGCAGTCACTCCAGGAATGGGTGAGCAATGGACAAAATGAACTGCATCCTAAGAACATGGAACATGGGAACAGTCGGTCCTGCATCACTTTGGAGCAGGGTTACTAACCCTCGGTCAGTTGACGTGCGGCTATCAACCACATACCCTCGCCTCAGGCGAGGACAAATGAGAAACAACCCCTCACGCGGGACGGCGTTGTGGTCTCTTGCACCATCTGATGTTTCAAGGTCTATATCGTTCCACGTAAGGGGTAAAGAATTCGAAAGTATGTAGGAATGCAAAACCTTCGGAAATGTTCACCTTAGGATCCTGCAAGCTTTTCAGGCCGTGACATGATTCGGCCGGATTCTGGCCAAGAACTTCCACCACAAGCTCCTTGCGGGCTTGCTGAAAAACAAGACCGGCTGGCAGGGTACCCCAGCGCTTTTGTAAAAACTGCGAAGGGCCGTCCAAATTGCTGAAGCCATCCAGTTACCCGGGCGGTGGCCAGTCCGAAAACATGGCTTTGCTGTCGTAGCAGCTTGTTGATGTTGGGAGTCGACTGCCTAAGGTTCGCCAAGTGCCTAGCTTTTACTTCTGCATAAGGAACGTTCTCGGGCGAACATCTGACGAACTATTGCTAGAGACTCATAATGCCTTCATGATGTTGTTTATGTTCCAGGTTGAATGTGAGAAGAACCTTCCACGCTAAGTCAAAACGCTTGACGGCTTGACGCTTTTTCCTCAGGTACTCCGAAGCGAGATTCGGGGCGTTGTGTTGGCGCATCATGTGTCTGCCACCGGATTTCCCTTCGTCATCGGTGGCCCAGTCAACACGGGACATGACTTTTGTTAGCTGAACGTTCTTCAGCGGCGTATCTAGGCTTCTGCGATGCACCTCCCGGATAATGGCATAATCTGCCTAGTTGACAAAGTAAACTGCAGGCACGCCCTTCAGAAGGGGTTCGGCGATATTTACATATATATATATGCGATATGAGGAGTCTGAGAAAACCCTCCCAGAATTCAAGGCAAGGATGGCGAGAGTAGACTACCCATTATATTTTGCCAGTGACTCAGGTCACCAGTGGAGGTTGCAGGAAACAAGGCAATATGTACTTCTCTTCAGGCTGCTTGCTTTTATGTGTCCCATCTCTTCTGCTCAAGAAGAGTGCCTTTACTCTCACTTCCGGCTGATAGCCTTATACTGATGTGGATTTCACCTGTTGTGGAGGTTGTGGAAAAATAGCATTTGTTTTACGCCCAGTGAGTCAAATAAAGCAACCAGTGACACACATGACAAGCACGCACATGATCGCCACATTCTATGTCTGACTCCTCCAGCGATTTCAGAGCATAAATGGATTTATTGACAGTTCTCACGGCTTCTGGAACCAGAAAGTGATAGCTGCTCCAAGAGGCAACCCCAAACATGTGTCCAATATGTCCTGCAACACGTCCGCCAGAAGCCAGGTTTGAGAATCAAACGCATTAAACGCGCCATCCCACCTGTTGTGGGGAGGCAAAATTGTACAATGCCCGGTTTCAGGTTTGGGGCTCCCAAAAATTGCTGAAGATTGCTGCCGCGTGGCGCAACCTTTCAGAGCATATGGCGCATCGGTCACACACGGCTCAACTTCAGCCTTTCCCTTGTAGCCAGCAGCACACTCGGCAGTCCTCAGAAAGTGCTGAGGCTGCATGCAACAGCGCTTGTATCTCTTGCTATCTCTTGTCACTTGGCACCTACACACACAAATAAGGGCCAATCACATCGAAGGCGTGCTTCTCCAATGCGGCTTCAGTCACCTGCGAGATGAAACTGACACACTCTTGCCTGGCTGCCAAGGTCACTTGCATGAGATGAATGTGCTGCAACTTGAGTCTCGAATGTGGGATGAGCACAAACATGCGCCTGATACCCCTTGTTTTCCAACTGCGTGGAGCAAAGCACAATCTTTTCGCATCCCGCCAACGTGTAGGACCTTGTGGCAGGGAACCACTCTGACGGCTCCATGTGCTCCTTGAAGTAGACAGGCTAGCCGGCAAACAGATTTTCCCAATCCACGGGTCCACTTCGGGTTCCGAAGGAGCGAGTGGCTTGCGATCAAGCTTACGAGTGACTTGCGAAAACGACCGAATACCAACATGACTCACTTGTGACTTGCTTTGACTCACTTGCGAAGGCTTTGTAGTTGAAACGATGAAATTCGCGCGGCCAAAATCCCCCTCAGGATCGCAACCTCAACTGGTTGAATCCCCCCTAGAAACCGCGCAAATTCCATTCTAGGGACCAGTCAAATCCCCTCCAAAAACCGGACCAGAGTCCTGCTAGAAACCGGTCAAATCCCCCCTAGAAAGCTGGTAAAGTTCCCCTCTAAAACCAGCCAAACCCCCTCTAAAACCGGTCCAAATTCCCTACAAACCGATCAAAGAAACCAGTCAAATTCCCCTCTAGAAACCAGCTAAAATCCTCTAAACAACCGGTCCAACTCCGGCCAAAAACCAGTCCAACTCCGCCAAAACACAGTCAACGCCAGCCAAAAGCGTTTACAATAAAGACCCGTGCTTGCACAGACCGGAACGTGGAATTTGCAGCTTTTGCATTTGTTTTCGCCTCGATTGATTTCAGCAACTCCACTCTGTGGCCTCTTTGCCTCAAGTCCTGGCGGCACATTCACGGAAGGAATATAAACGTGGATTCATTGCTTGCACTACTTATGGCATTTCGCGCACGGGAAGAATGCAACGCTTTTGCGCTGCCGCCAGCTGGCAGTGGGGGGAGGTGGATGGGACTTATCCGGGGAAGGCGGGTTGGAGTTCGAGGAGCCATGCAGGACAGTTGAACTGGGCAACTTGAGGGCGTGAGGGAGAAGACGCGTGAGGTCCTTATTTGGTTGCAGCCTTCGCGCAACTGGCTGCTGTTCTTGCTGAGCTTGGTCAACACCGCTTGCGGCATTTGCGAGCCCGCTGATCCCACTGATACTTGCCGTGTCTAATGCCATGTGCATGAAACATATATGTTCCTGTCCTGATAGGAATTGCACAATTCGTTGCATCGGTTGCCAAGCCCGTTTTGAGGTCCACTCAAAAGCGGCTTGCTGTTGAACCACCAAAGTGTTTCGCATACGACAAGCTGTGCCAAACAACTACTTACATATCTGCCTCCTTTCCTCGGGCTACATCTGCAACATCCGCAGATCTGCCGATTCTTAGACTGCCGCGTTTCTTCTTCAGGACAAAGTGTTGCTGATGGTGCGCCACTAAAACCTCAACAAGAGCAGCGCACATATCTGAGCCTTGGGGCACATGTGCATAGCATTCGGACGAGCTGCCCTTTGCACAGGTCACGTTTACCTGGAAGTCATGCATGGTGAGGTCCTGCGAAGCAACAACCGACCTGATGCCTCATGTCCGCGGTTCCAGGGCTAACTTTCGCACCGGGAAAGCCTGCAACTTGACGGGTCCAGCTGAACCCCCAAAATCAGCCCCGATGGCATGGCAGTGGGAAAAATGTCAATCCTCTGAGATGCATAAGGAGGATCTCTCATGCTGCAACATATATTGGCAAGGTACCTGCCTGCTCATCGACAAGATATCCCGCTGTGTCCTCAAAGGAGTCGCAGCAAACTGACACAAGTCCCTACACCATGCTCCCTTTGATGCCCAGAGCAGGCCTTCGGAGACACGCAAACTTTATCGCGTTCGCAGCCACTCAGCACCTCAGATACAATGCGGGTTTACTGTGTGAACCCCTCTACCCAATCCTTCTTTAGAGAGGCATGCATCTGAGCAGCCCGTCAAATTGAGTCCAGCAACGCAATTTGCAAGTCATCATGTGTTTGAATTGAGAAAGCGGGTGCACATTTGGGTTGCACGGATCTTGGAGCGCTGTATCGGCTGTTCAACCCAGCAAAACATTCTATTTGTGTACTGGCCAGGAGGCGTAAGGTGCCAGGTTCCCATCACATGGGGTTGCCGCTGCTTTGCCGTGGTACCCTGGGGCGCACTGCGCCTTGGTCCAATAAATGTCTCTCACCCTCTTGAAACTTGCTCCAGTCAGTAAAAGCAATTGAAATGCCTCCGAGACTCTGTAACTGCAAATTCCGTGCTAAACAGCTCGGACTCCGTGACAACATAGCCTTGGCAGGGTCTGTCGGTCAAGTTGGCCTGCATCGCAATGCTCAATAGTTTCACTTGCCGGGTCTGCTGTAAACGCATCTCATCAATCACATGCATGGTCGTACACAACTTTCCACAATGAGAGGGGATCTCTCTTTCAAGCACAACAATATGTCAGTGCGATCTATCTGCAAAATAGTGGCCATCTACCACAGGTGCCAGGCATGGATGACCGGGTCGGGTGGTGGTGCTAGTCGTTGTACTCGTGCTAGTAGTGGAAGTTGATGTTGTTGTCGTGCTAGTAGTAGTGCTGGTAGTAGTGGTTGTAGTGACTGTTGATGTTGTAGTCGTTGTTGTGGTTGTTGTAGTTGTGGTGCTTGTTGAAGTGGTTGATGTGGTGGTGCTTGTCGTGGTGGTGGTGGAAGTGGAGGTGCTGGTTGTAGTTGTAGTGGTGGTAGATGTAGTCGTTATGGTAGTCGTTGTGGTGGAAGTCGTGGTTGAGGTTGTCGTACTGGTTGTTGTGGTTGTGGTGGTTGTTGAGGTTGTCGTAGTGGTTGTTGATGTTGTGGTTGTTGTTGTGGTGCTCGTGCTGGTTGTGGTTGTTGTCGTGGTCGTTGTGGTTGAAGTGGTGGTGGTGCTTGTGGTTGTTGAAGTTGTTGTGGTGGTTGAAGTCGTGGTTGAAGTTGTGGTGGTGGTTGTGGTGGTGCTTGTGGTTGTGGTTGTTGTGGTCGTTGTGGTGCTGGTGCTGGTAGTTGTGGTGGTGGTGGTGGTGGACGTAGTTGTGCTGGTTGATGTTGTGGTTGTGGTGCTGGTGGTCGTAGTAGAGGTAGACGTCGTGGTAGTTGTCGTGGTCGTGGTGCTCGTTGACGTAGTGGTGGTGGTGGAAGTAGACGTAGTGGTGCTTGTGGTCGTGCTTGTAGTTGTAGTGGATGTTGTTGTTGTTGTCGTCGTGGTAGTGGTGGTGGTCGTCGTGACGGTCGTTGTCGAAGTTGTAGTTGTGCTGGTGGTTGTTGTGGTGGACGTGCTGGTGGTACTGGTTGAAGTCGTTGTAGCTGTCGTGGTCTGTGTGACTGTTGTGGTGCTTGTCGTAGTAGTAGTGGATGTTCCTGTGCTGGTGCTGGTCGTTGTTGTTGTGCTCGTTGCTGTGGTTATGGTTGTGTAGGTGGTTGTACTAGTGCTGGTAGTTGTTGTTGTAGTGCTTGTGATGGTGGACGTGCTTGTTGTTGTGAAGGTGGTTGTGCTGGTTGTTGTAGTGGTTTCAGTGCTGGTGCTTGTTGTTGTGCTGGTTGTTGTGCTAGTGCTAGTGCTGGTGGTGGTCGTAGTGCTGGTCACAGTAGATGTCGTCGTTGTAGTTGTTGTGGTCGTGCTTGTCGTGGTCGATCCTTCTGTAGTTATGACTGTTGTAGTGGTTGTGGTGCTTGTTGATGTTGATGTGAGCGTTGTGGTGCTTGTTGTTGTGGTCGTGACCGTGCTCGTACTTGTAGTGGTGGTTGTGCTGGTGGCTGTGCTAGTCTGAGTTGTTGTGGTCGTGCTAGTGCTCGTTGACGTAAGCGTTGCGGTTGTAGTGAGCGTAGATGTCGTGGTGATTGTGATGGTTGTGGTTGTGGTTGTGGTAACTGTTGTTGTGCTGGTTGTGGTGGTGGTGGTTGTGGATGTCGCGGTTGTGGTGGTCGTTGTTGTGGAAGTGATTGTGCTTGTGGTAGTAACTGTAGTTGTGCTCACAGTCGTAGTTGTGCTGGTGGTCGTAGTTGTGGTGGTGGTTGTGGTGGTGCTGGTAGTCGTTGTAGTGGTGAATGCTGTGCAGCCGTCGAGTTCATAAGGCTGGTTTGGCTTCTTGCACTTCTTGACTTTTGCAGTGCCATCAGCCTTTCCTGGAGTGCAGCGCGCCAGTACCTCAAAGTTTCGTTGCTCCAAGCTCACTTCAGTGACATCATAGATGTCCACCATTGGGCTGGTGCAAACATCCGCTTTGCAGCCTGTCAGTATGTAGGGCTCACCATCTGCGCCACACTTCTCCACCTTGGCATTTCCGGCGCAACCCGCCGCGCAGGAAGCATTTACGGCGAACTTGTCCCTCTGGAGCTGCGACTCCACCACGGTGTATCTATTGTCCGGGTTCTTGATGCAGGCCTTTGTGCGGGCTTTTGCAGAAAGAAACAACGAGAAATGCAACAGAAAAAAAGCGGGGCTCTCTGGGAGCGTCTAGTGATGTCTGGTAGTGCCAACAACTGAGGTGGGAGCTCCATGAACGATGGCCTGCAAGTCTGCTCAATGCATTGATGAACTGACCGGCGACTGAGCGCATGGTACAAGACGGAGACCGCTTAGTTGTTGTAATGACAGGCCATCATTTCCGTGCAACATTGTCTGCCCGTGTTCCACACAAGCGCAAACGCTACCGCAGGCAAACAAACAAATAAAGGAAAAAGGAAGGAAGGCAGGAAGGAAGGGAGGAAGGAAGGGAGGAAGCAGCGAACGGACGGACGGACCTCTGACGGACGAATGCATGAATGCATGAATGCATGAATGCATGAATGCATGTAAGAATGCATGAATGCATGAGTGCATGAGTGCATGAATGAATGAATGAATGAATGAATGAATGAATGAATGAATGAATGAATGAATGAATGAATGAATGAATGAAATGAAATGAAATGAAATGAAATGAAATGAAATGAAATGAAATGAAATGAAATGACATGACATGACATGAAATGAAATGGAATGAATGAATGAATGAATGAACGAACGAACGAACGAACGAAATGAATGAATGAATGAATGAATGAATGAATGAATGAATGAATGAATGAATGAATGAATGAATGAATGAATGCATGAATTAATCAATGAACGAACGAATGAATTAATGAATGAATGAATGAATGAATGAATGAATGAATGAATGAATGAATGAATGAACTCATGAATGAATGAATGAATGAATGAATGAATGAATGAATGAATTAATGCATGAATGAGTGAGCGAGTGGGGGAGTGAGTGAATGAAGAGCCAACCGCTCAATCAAGGAACCGATGAATCGTTCAATCAGTGATTCAGCGACTTCATGAGATTCAGATGGCGAACCGACGTGCGGCGGGGTGAAGGGTTGGTTCACGAACAGCTCGGTCAGTTGGCTGTTTGGTATGAGTTCTTGGCTGCTGCCTTTCTGTTTTTGTAGTTGCCTGTTCGTTCGGTTTCTTCTGTTCTTGTAGGCTCGTTTTCGGTTACATTGTGTGTGTGTGTGTGCGCGTGCGTGTGTGTGTGTGAGAGAGTGTGCTTATTTGAGTCTTGCCATGCATGTGATTGCTTGCTTGGTGGCTCGCTTGAAGATGTGCTTCGTTCGTTTCGTTGCTAGCTTGCTCCCCCAGCCCCGCCTGCCTTGTTTGGCGCAACAAGAATGAATCGCGGGCGCACACGAGTAGCCCCTTTCAGCGGTTCGAGAAAACCCCGCGCTGGGCCATAGGGCGCGTCCATGGCACTGCCAAGGGTCGCGAGCCTCGCGTCAGCTGCATCCTCACAGCTTCGGTGACGGTGAACGCGGAGACCGGGAACGAATTGAAGGTTGGAAGATGATAGTGGGCGCCTACGAGCGAAATATAGGTGGCCAGCGCGCAAGGCCTTAGAGTCCGACTTTCTGGCAAAGCTGAAGCAGTGGGAAGTCGCGCGCTGCCAGGCTACAGGAAGAGATTGCAGCGGCAGTGAAACGCGCCAACTATGACATGCTCATCAAGCAGCTTGCAGGCAGACTCGAGCCCAAAAAGAAAAGAGGCTAGCTCCCGGGACAGAGCTGGAGCTCTCGGGACAGAGCTGGATCCTCGACAGAGCTGTGTCTCCCATAGGGCTTACGGACGTTGGAGCCTTGAAGAGGTGTGCCAAAGCTAGCAGCAACGTGATGAGGCGCAAGACCCACAAGAAAGCCGACGCCCACCCATCCGGAGAAAGACTTTTGCGACGCGACGCGGAGGCTGCGTCTACATCAAGCCAGATCCCAAATACTACGGGGCAAAAAGGACCGTCAAGGTGATCAAGTTGATCTTCTACGGCAAAGCAAAGCAGAAGCATGAGAACGATGGCTTGTCGGGTCCCAGAATCTGCAGAGCGCTTGGGGAAAGCCGAGGGTCAAGTTGCTTCCATCTGCCGCGAGGGCAGCGTGCATCATGGCGCAAAAAAGAGCAAGCGAGTAGCCTGCAAGCTTGACGGCGCTTTGCGAAAAGTCAGGGCGCGCAAGGGCTGTCATGGGGCTAGAGCCCCCTGTTTAAACGGCCAAATGCCCCCATGGCTAGGGAGGCGCAGTGCGTTTGGCGCAACAAGACATGTGGGGGCATGGTGTCCCCTTCAGCGGTTCGAGAAATCTGCAGACCCTCTGCCCTCATCTTCTTTCTTACTTGCCTGCCTGCCTGAATGTCTCTCTGTCTGCCTGTCTGTTTCTCTGTTTGTGTGTGGTCGTCTGTTTGAATGCTTGCGTGTTTGCGTGCTTGGAAGTGAGTTTTCTTGCGTGTTTTGCTCAGCTCCTTCCCTCCTTCCTTCCTTTCTTCCATCCCGCCTTCGCTCCTTCATTCGTTCACATGTATATATGTATGTATGTATGAATGAAGGAATGAAGGAAGGAAGGAAGGAAGGAAAGAAAGAAAGAAAGAAAGAAAGAATGAGTGAATGAATGAATGAATGAATGAATGAATGAACGAAGTACTTAATGAATGAACGAATGAAATTAATGAATTAATGAATTAATGAATGAATGAATGAATGAAGGAATGAATGAATGAATGAATGAATGAATGAATGAATGAGTGAGTGAATGAATGAATGAATGAACGAATGAGCGAATGACCAAATGACATGAATCAATGACATGAATGCAATGAAAACAATTAAAGGACATGAAGTGGCATGAACTGAAACGAAATGAAACAGATGAATGAATGGATGGATGAATGAATGAATTAATGAATGAATGAATTCATGAAATGACATGAAATGACATGACATGAAATGACATGAACTTACATGAAATTACATGAAATGACATGAACTGACATGAAATGCAGTGGCATGAACTGAAATGAAATGAAATGAAATGAATGACTGAGTGAATGAATGAACAGTTATTCAACCCATTCGTGATGTTAGTCATTTCAGTTCATTTCACTTCACTTCACTTCATTTCACTTGAATTCATTCATTCACCAATTCATTGATCCATTTCATCCATCCATCCATCCATCCGTCCATCCATCCGTCCATCCATCCATTCATTAATTGATTCAGTCATTCATATTCCAGATCACGCATACACTCATTCACTCATACAGGCATGCATTCATTCAACCCGTTTGTGCATATCATTCATTTCATTTCACTTAACTTCACTTCACTTCACTTCGCTTCACTCATCCATCCATTCATCCATTCATCCATTCATTCATTCATTCATCCATCCATTCATTCATTCATCCATCCATTCATTCATTTGTTTCATTCATTCATTCATTCATTGATTCATTCATTCATTCATTGATTCATTCATTCATTCATTCATTCATTCATTCATTAATTCATTAATTCATTCATTCATTCATTCATTCATTTCATTTGTTCGTTCGTTCATTCATTCATTCATTCATTCATTCATTTCATTCATTCATTTGTTTCATTCATGCATTTGTTTCATTCATGCATTCATTTGGTCACTAATCCTTCACTCCTTCCTTCTTTCCTTCCTCCCTTCATTCATTCATGCATTTGTTCGGTCATTTGTTCCTTCGTTCCTTCGTTCGGTCGTGCGTTCCTTCGTTCGCTCATTCGTTCGTCATTCGTTCCATCGTTCGTTCATTCGTTCATTCGTTCATTCGTTCATTCATTCATTCATGAGTTCATTCATTCATTCATTCATTCATTCATTCATTCATTCATTCATTCATTCATTCATTCATTCATTCATTCATTAATTCATTCGTTCGTTCATTGATTAATTCATGCATTGATGCATTGATTCATTCATTCATTCATTCATTCATTCATGCATTCATTCATTCATTCATTCATTCATTCATCCATCAATCCATCCATCCATCCATCCATTCATCCATCCATCCATCCATCCATCCATCCATCCATTCCATTCCATTCCATTCCATTCCATCCATCCCTTCGTTCGTTCGTTCATTCATTCATGAGTTCATTCATTCATTCATGAGTTCATTCATTCATTCATTCATTCATTCATTCATTCATTCATTCATTAATTCATTCGTTCGTTCATTGATTAATTCATGCATTCACTCATTCATTCATTCATTCATTCATTCATTCATTAATTTCATTCGTTCGTTCGTTCGTTCGTTCATTCATTCATTCATTCATTCATTCATTCATTCATTCATTCATTCATTCATTCATTCATTAATTCATTAATTCATTCATTCATTCATTCATTCATTCATTCATTCATTCATTCATTCATTCTGTCATGTCATGTCATGTCATGCCATGCCATGTCATGCCATGTCATGTCATGCCATGGCATGTCATGTCATGTCATGTCATTCATGCCATTTCATGCGTTTTTTTAATACGTTCCTTCATTCATTCGTCATTCGTTCATTTTCATCCAACTATCCATCCATCCATCCAACAACCCGCCAACTCAAGGCTCGAGCAACCAATAAAGTCAAATCAATCAATCCATCCATCCATCAATCAACCAATCACTCAATCAAACAAACAAGCAATCAAGCAAAGACACCGAACCAAAACCAAACGAAACGAAACACACGAAACACACGAGCGAGCAAACAGCAAAAACAGCCCAACAGGCAAGCCAGCAAACTGGCAAATGGGCAAACACGCGAGCGAGCAAGCAAGCAAGCAATCAACCAAACAAAAAGCGAAGGACGTTTGTGGTTTAAAAAAACAAACATGCATTGCTTTCTGATGCCGGGCTGAAAAGCAGCGGGAAACGACAAAACAAAAGAAGCAGAAGAGAAGCAGGTGCTAAAACAGTCACCCGTGAAGCTGCTTGGGCAATTTGAGATAAGAGAAACGAAAGCTCCTGTGACTAGTCTTTTCTGCTTTGCCATTGCATCGCTCCATGTTCGGCTCCTTCACGGCTTCTTCTGGAACTGGCACTTTGTTCGAGATGGTCTGCACACCCCGGGAGAAGTCACCGTTCAGGGAGACGCCCTGAGAAAGAACATGCCAGGCACTCCAAGTGCGTGGCTGGATCTCAAGAATCAGAATTTGCATCCCAGGTGCGATTTTGTACCACACGTTGTGTTTTGGAGTTCCCAGCAAGGCGAGCGCAATCCACTGCGTAACTTGCCTGCACAGGACAGGTTGACAGAGTAGCGAGGAGTGGGCAGTCTATGCTAGCAGAGAACCATGACCAGCAAAGTCTGTAATTCTTAGGTGTCTTGATCAGTCAAAGTCAACGGATGCTGACACTTGTCAAGCCTGTGGCAAATGCAAACCATGTATATTCTGGCCTCCCCGTGATCTCCTTGCTATTCTGGCCTGGTTGGCAGGACAACGGGTCACTCATCCGATCAATTCTCAAAGCATCATTGGCACAGCCTGATGCATCAACTGCTGAAAAGATCTGCACCTCGAAATTCAAGTCGTCACCTGGCTGAGACGGGATCCTGGAAAATATCAGCTCTGACATGCCACGAGTGATAGAAGACCAACATAAGCTTGGCAGTGCGAGGACACACCTCGACTCTGCCATTGCATTTGGCAAGCTTGCAACTTCAGTGTGGATTCGCCGAGCTGATCGAATTCGTCTTTGAACTTGCACAATGAATGGCAGCCCTCGCTCTCAAAGGCCTAGAGACGAGATTGGCATAGTCAACAGGAGGTCATACTCCTTGTCAGACACAGTCCAGCCTTACAGGACATCGTAAAAAGTCATTCAAGTCATTATGCCTCAGTGACTTGATGCTCAGGCTCAAGCTGAACTTTTGTCCAGGTGTCATAGTCCCAGTGCATGCCTTCTCAGGTCCTGTGTCCTTGCAGAGCTGCCAAGGCATAAGTCCCGCTCTCAACCTTTAATTTATCCCCTTCTCCCGAATTGCCCGATTTCCCATCGCACACCGTTGCAAGCTTGCTGCTTGCATTCCGCGGTCCTTGTCGAAGGCATTCAACGTCGCGCAATACGGTGATTTGCCGCCTTGGACCACTATGCTTCTTATTTTCTTGCCTGTGTGTAAGACTCTTACGCTCAATCCATCAGTACACGGGGCCTTCAATGGAAAAGTCATGTCAGTCTTTCTTCACGCGGCGTGCTGAAGCAGGCGACACGCTAGTGACGATTCCTTCTCCAAGGCACAAGTCAGGCACGTGCCGTTGAAGTCAACGATGCGAACGTCACCCACTTCAGCAATTGTGGTGTGGGGGTTCACGAAACTTTTGGCCTGGAACACGAGGCAGCATGTAGCAAACTTACCCAGAAGCGCAGGACACAGCAGGGGATGTCGTGACAAAAGCTGCGAGGCAACTGCAACCCATAGTCCATTCAGTCCTTCAGCTTCAAGCGCAGTTGGCCCGCAACATCTACACCTTCGTCTGCGGCTTCCTGGCGAAGTCAGAGGTGGAGCTTCGCTGTTTCGTATGCTACAAGTGAGGCATATGATGGTTCCTCCATCCGCTCTTGAACCTGGGCCCTCCAAAGACTACGGCAATTCCTCAACCCAGAATCAAATAGTGATATACGTCTCAACCCAATGCAGCCGAATCAGGCAGGCATGCTCACATCTCAACTATATTGTTCGGTTGGCCCGCAGCAAGGCGTCTGGCTCTGGCCCCAGGCTGGGCAGAAAACCCTGGTGGCTTCTGTCGGCAAAGCCGAGCAAAGGCTAGTAAAATTCTGGAATCTTGCTTGGACTGATAGAATTATGTTCTCTTGTGAATACTTCTGGAAGTCCTCATATTCAATTCTGTAGAATACCCACTCGACTACGCATGACTGACTTGCAACTGGCTCATCATGCCAACCAATTGCCTGCCGCGCGTGCTTGACCAATGGGGGACAAGCACGGCCCTTCAATTTTTAGGGCAGCTGGGATTCTTATCAGAACCCATCCTCACTCACACAGAGCGGGCCTTGTAGAGGAAGCCTGCTCTACGCTGTGTCAGCTTTCGGCTTTCCACTAAGGTAGGCAGCCAAAGCAGCCAAGCTACATTGTACCATCGCATACCTGGCAGTCACTCAACCGGCTTGCAAAGCTGCTGCTACATCTCCTGCGCTACTCCTGCGCACCGAAAATCAATGCCCTAGCATGTAGGCACTAGTTGCCCTGGGTGCTTGGGTATTTGCCGTGCTTTGGTAGTGCAGTAGTGCTGCGGCATGACTCACTTGGTCCTTGGTTGTGCTTTGGAATTGCTGGAATATCTCTGCCCTGCCACCCTGGCGCTTGCCAACTCTCCTCAACCTTGCGTCGCTCTGACTAGCGGTTCGGGAGAAAAGAGTTCGCAATGAAGCACACTGAGGTCCATATGGAGCTCCAGGCTCCAGGGCCCATGGAGAAACCAAACTCCAACGCTCCAAAAAGGCCCTTGAAACAAGAACTCGAACAATATACGTCTATAGTCTATACACAAATGCCAAGGCCATGTGCAGTGAGCTGCCAGGCAGGTAGGACTCAGGACACCAAACAGTACAGCAAACGTGCAATGCTGTATCTGACGCTTTAACCCTCGCCTGCGGGTGGCAGGGCCCCGGCTGCGTAGCAGCGGCTGGGCCCGCCCCTTCAGCCAAGCAGAAGCGCGCATCCAAAATGGAATTTAGGTCAAAGCCAATCCGCAGAATGGGTCAAGCAGTGTCCAGCAAAATGCAAATGCAACGGACTCAAAGCCCGTCGGCGCAGTGGACTGCATTTCCGCGGCTCACTTTTTGCCCTAACCCCGCAAGCATTGCTACAATCACATTGCTGTCCAAACAGCAAATGTACGAGTTTGCACCCCGCAACTCTACGCCCCCTACAACTGCCAGCACGCCCACATGTCACCGAAGTTCTGAAGCTGGCAGTTGCAGTGTCACTCTTCCCGCCGGCACTGGCCAAGATTGCCTTGTCTCAAGATCAGGGTCCAAATTGGCAGATTCCAGCTTAGTTGCCCTCCGAATCACCAATAAGCGTAAACCAGTGCCTTGTTTTGAGACACGCCTGCTTGAATTGCTGAATGGCTGCACTAACTGCGAGGCTCCCAATCCGGCTCATACACCAAAGGCAAGGATGTTGATCCGCGATGCCTGCAGTGCAAGCGGACCGCTTGAGCCCCCATGAAGCCAAGTCTAAGTTGTCACCCGTGCTCCCAATGTTTGCTCTCAATATCTCTCAGATAAGCCCTCCGAAACAACCACAAGCTTGATCAACAGCGGTGTGCTGAAAACCCGAAGGGTCTTGGCTCTGGCTCGAAGCTCTCTGCCTCGTGTAGGCGCTGGCGAAGGCAAAGCCCAGCTCCGTGGGCTGTGAGAAGGCCACGGCCCCGCCGCTGATGCGCCGGGCGCCTCGGGACATCGGATCAGACCCGCGACTCGTCCGCTGCATCTGACGTGGCACTTGGGACTCGTACCCTGACATTCGACCGCAAGCGCAAGCCCGACGTAATGCGTTGTTAGCATACAATGACAAAATAGGTCCCCAATTCGGCTTGAGCTGAAGCACTGATCAACAGAGATAGGCGGGTCGGCATGATATGCAAGGCCTTTCCACACCACACTTTCAGGTGTGTCTACTTGGCGCCAATCACGGGAGTCGCCTGCAAAAACAATACAAGCGTGCAGCAGCGGCCAATGCAATGCTAGATTGATTGACACGAAAGCAAGCTGACTTTACGTCGGATGAACTTGACCGGTATTCGCTAGATACAATACAAGGAGGGGTCGCCCCGATCAAAGCAACGAAAGGCCTATGACGTATGTGCATAGTACAGCGTCCCGTCCCCCACCCCAAACCATCCCTAAACCACTTTCTGCAACCCAGCATTCCCGCAACCCGAGCAATCAAGCCCTCAACCAACCCCAAGCCAACACTGAATTAATCCTAACATGAGTAGTAGAAAGACCCTAAACCCACGTATGTCAAGCTGAATCAACCCTAAACCAACCCTAAACCCATCCCAAACCAACCCTGCACCACAACCCAACACAGGACCACAGGATCGCGGGGGGGCGGGGGGGGGGGTTGGGATGCTGCACCACATGTATTATGTATATATATATATAGGTATACAATATATTTTTTAATGTATACATAGCCCCCTGCCATCCCAAGTGCGGTTACATGGAGAGAGGGGCAGCGGGCGTAGAGAATGCACGCGTAGCGAGAGGCTGGTTTTCTGTTTGGCTGGCAATACATTCGCCAGAATAGCCGCAACCTCAAAAGGTCTTAAGGCATATGTTCTATCGCCAAATCAACGCTGTCAAAGGAACTTAACCATCCTGGTGATGGGCCATTTCTGAATGTTCCAGGAAAACATGTCGCCATGCACAAACCAAAAAATGGTCTTCCTCTTGAGAAATTGTGAAAAGGAGCTACTTTCTCTACCGAGGCTACATTTGATCCTTTTTCTCAAATACATCCTTGTGGGAGCAGGGCTGCAAGGATGGGGCAAGGACTGTCAAAAACACTTCAAACAGCCGCGGCCTACGCAATGAGTACGTGGTCAGCATTGCTGACATTTTTTTTCAGCTTCAGCGAGGGTTGTGAACGCGGCTCCTCTTCAGCTTCACATTCTGGCAGCGACCGCGACGTTTTGACAGGCTCGCTGGAGAAGATGGACACGCCAGCGGAGCGAGGCCTGATGGGCTCCATAGAATCCATGGGCTTGAAGCTGCCCCCAGTTTTGGCATTGAGCGGTGTTGCGGTCTCCCCAGTGAAGGAGGAAATGAAGCCTAAGGAGACAGGCAGAGCCGGCAGCCTGGCACTGCCAAGCTCGCAAATGATTTCAAAGCATAAAGCATAAAGCATTGTCTCGTTGAAGAGAACAAGAGAGGCGATTGGCGGGCGCTTAAATCCGTTTGCCATCGATTCAGTGCACCATTGGTCACCTGGTGGAGTTTACTTCGATCCTTCGGGCAAATGGAGGACTCGAGTTGGAAGCTTGCGCAATCGCAACAGGCCTGAGACTGGTTTTGCCGCCTTGGTCCCCACTGGATTCATTTGAGAAAATGGGTCAAATGAAGCCTCGTTGCAAATTTAGCCACCGCTTTACAGTTATGTTTCTCCATGTAGCCATGTTGTCTCATGTCCCAACGATTTTCACCTGCAACACATACAGACCCAACCGGAACATGCAACCTTGCCCCCTTACATGACAATCCATGCTCTACTCTGACTGTCCAGTTCTTCTTTTGGTGAGGCTACTTTGTGCAAATGTAGCAGGCAGTCATTCTTTGCAGGGATATGACAGTAGGATATATATATATATATCATATGTCTTCTACATGTCCAATATCATCTAAATCATTTGTGCACCTGTGTGGGCACTGTGCGCTGTCTGAGAGCCCAACAATCCACGAGCGCTGTTGCAAGCCCACGTCGACGCTCTCTGCGCCGCACCCAAACAACAGCTACGCCCAGCGCAAAGCCAGCGCGCCGAGGTGGTGTCCTAGCCTGCCAGGGCGAGCTGAGAAACGGCTCCCATTGCTGTGCATAGGCAAAGCTCTGCAATGAACCATCTCCATGGTGACTTTGAATCCGAGCACAGTACTCAATTGAGATCAATGGTTGTGTCCCTGCCTCGTGGTCTGCAACTGCCCCCTCCGAGTGAGGCTGAAGAGGTGCTGCAATTGACTTTTGTTTGTCGCAGGTCAATGCTGTTCTGCTGGCTGACTCCGGAGAGATGGCAGCCCAGCTGGCCGGCACGCGCTCGGCGCTGAGCAAGGCCAGAACCTCCTTGCCCCTCAATGCCAGCAGCAGCCAGGCGCTGTGATTGGCCAAGCGCTCGGCGCTCGGCAGCTCCAGGGCGTGGGACAGCTCCGTGTCGCGGATCTTCTCCCAAAGCTCCACCAAGCGAACCCCTGCCGCACCCCGCAGGGCGCTTGGCCCCAGCCGCACGACGCGGCATCCGTCGCTGCTCAGCGACTCTGCTGGGAACGGCCACTCCAAAGAGACGGAACATTGGTGAAGCGCATCTTCTAAGGGAGATAGGCGTTGTCCACAATCCCTGCAGCTCCTTGCCACAGCCAACAGCGACTGGACCTTTGTCTGAGCACCTGCCTCCCTTTTGAGCGCAGTCTTCACAGGACGGGTCTTCTTCCGGCAGCTAGTTGCGAGCATGGCAGGCCAGCTACCACAAGTTCGTGGGCTCTGTGAGATCCTCTTGCAAAGTTCATGCAGCTTGTGTTTGTAGTTTGTATTCCATTGCCATCCGTTGTGCTGCGGATTGGAGCTGGCATGTCACATGACTGCATCTACATACAACTGTCAAGCTTGCGTTTCTTCGTATCATGCAAAGATATCATGGCTCTAAAGCTGCTGATGTGGTTTCATTCACCGTTCTCATCTGCTCAGCTGCCACTCATCCAGTGCTTGCAACAGCCAAGGCAATTTTGCTTCTTTGGGCACTGCGCATCCGTTGTCTGTCCAGCAGCGTGGACAAACCGCTCACTGCCAATCACGGGCAAAAAATGTTACCTGAGAACCGACGGGCGACACTAGGTGCAACTCAGACCAGTGGAAGTCCGCAAACTGCGAACATGTCGTTCAGGGCCCCACCGACTCATCGTCGACTCATCGCGTTGTCTTGGAACAACCGCTGAGTTTGTATTCAAAGGCCACCTGATCCGGGCATCCAACATCGTCAAAGTGAAATGGTCGCCAACGGTTAGACGCTGCGCAGTTGTCACTGCTTTGGCGCCTGCGGAGTGGACCCGACGCAGGGAGACACCGTCGCTGTACCTGAATGGCCGGCTGCGTCTCCATCCGGCATTGAAGGACCCATGTCAAGCCGGGCAACTTAAGCATCACATCTAGAGACTTGCTTTTTACCTTTCGGTCTTTCTGTCTTCCTTCTCTGCAGTCCAGGCACCACTCCATCCTGCTGCGCAAGTAGCAGACACCTTGAACGCAGCGGTTCGGAGATCTGTCTCTGTCACCACGTATCCTTCCGACACCTCGGGGCAAAGAAATGCCATCAAATCACTCATGAAGAAACATGGCAATTGCACGATCTATTACAACGGCACCTGTTCT